TTATTATTATTATTATTATTATTATTATTATGATCATCATCATCATGACGAGTTGTTTGGAAGAGTGGAGGTACCTCTAAGTCTAAGTATATTGACAACTGAGTCGAAAAAGAGCCTCCCTCTTGCTCGAAGATTTTCTCGTATAGTCCACCAGGCCCATTAAGGAAACAATTTAAAAAATCATCATCATCATCATTATTTTTTAATAATAATAATAATATTGAGTTTCTTTCTCCTTTTCCTCTCCACCAGGTACCATCTCGCAATGGCCTCGTGCCTCCAGTGTAGTGTCAGGAGGCTCAGAGGGAAAACCCGCGGCTCACCTCATGATCACAACGCAAGATCTCTCCGATGTCAAGGAAGGTGAGCGAAAATGTTAGATAAATAATAATATTATGGTGTGCCATACTTTTATGTTCACAATTGGCAGTGACGTTTGTGGGCAAGGCTCTCCTTGTTGTGAGCTCTCTTTCTTTTGAAGGGGTTAGTGGTCTGTTGTTGTTATGTGCGCTGAGAAGGTGGGGTATTTTCTACTGCGCACACCACACCCCCATTTTTCCGGTCTTTCTTACCTCCCTACCCCACCCGTTCGTCACCTGTTGTCCGTCAGCTTTTGCTCCAATCAGTTGCTTCAATGGGTGTAATCCCAGTGGTCAAAAGCTTAGATCGTATGGAAATTCTCGGCACTCCGGCAATCAGCAGCGATGTTCCTAAATGTTGTTTGTGCAGGGTGCAGAATAGTGCAGATCTATGGAGTGGCTCTTTGCGTTATGGATAGCCGCATACGTCATTGACACCGCGATTTCCCACAGGGCTCGGATTAATCTGGGGGTGCATTGGTTGTGGAAGATGAAGGTGTTTGGGAGGTTGATTGGTGTTTATCTCGTCTACTTAGGATAAGGGAAAGGCGAAAGGGGGGGGGGGGGGGGGGGGGATAACGGACGCTTGGAAGAATGACGGAAAGGCGGCAGAGAACGAAGGGGGATTGAGAGGACGAGGAGGAGAAGGAAGAGAAGAAGATTTTTGTTTTAATAACGTTTTACGGCGCTCACAACTGCATAATAAGGTCATATGAGCGTCGAGGTGTGGTTGTCAACAGAGCAGTCCAAACGGGGAATCAGGCTTACTCTGCTCAACTCTCTAGCCTCAGCAGCACAAAGTTTGCTTCGACTACCAAGGCACCCAGAAATACCAGTTCACAAGAGAATGTCAAACGTACAAAAAAGTAGAGGAAAAAATGACAATAATAAGGATGAGGAAAGAAAGAGCAGTATGTTGTTCCGGCACAGTATGAGCATGACATTGATAAATCAGCACTTTTCCAATTCCACTAAGCATAAAGGAACATGTCAATATCCCCCCTTTGAAAATGGCCTAAAACGCTTCAGTCAGTAGCACTGCCCTGGGGGTGGGGGG